CTTGTGCTGTGCTGTGCTTTGCTGTAGTGTGCTGTGTCGTGTGTAATGGAACCTTGAAAGTCAAACCAAAAAAACGCCAAAAAGCCAGGGCAAGGCCAGATCAACGGAAGGCACCACCTGAAGTCGGGCAAGGTAAAAGTAAGAGAAGGTAAAGTACAAAGCGAGGGATACGTACAGTGCAGTACCTGACTTTTGGGGCCAGAGATTCTTTGGGGGAGTGCCCACTCCAAGCCACCACGCCAAAGGTACCTTTCTCCTAGTGGGGCGTGCCTTCTTCTGACCAAGACCCAAGCATTTACCCCTTCGTGAGAGGGGAAGGCACGATACGGTAGCTCAGGTAGGTACCCATCGAACCATCCTTGCTTCCTTTCCTTTCCTTCCTTTCCCTTCCCTTGGCCCTCCTCCAACTCTGACTTGGCCCTCCCCACCCTGGAGCTACCCCCGTAGTTGCCTTAGCGGAAGGTAAGGTCAAAAACGAAGGATGGCATGTATTGACTGAGTGAGTGACTGTCTGAGGAAAAGGTGCGCGGGTACGTACTGTTTGTTACTGTGGGCAGATACTTTGAACCAGAGCAGCAGCTGGAGCAAAAGGACGCTAACACGCAACCACCATGGCACTTACACAGCTCGATAAACCACACTACCAGAAACCAGCCCGCACTTCCTAGACCACATCCAGTAGAGTACAGTACAGCATTGTAGAGAGGTACAGTACGTACAGGCCTGCAGCAGCACTCCACGCAATCGGTTCACCATGTCGTAGGTTCCATGTCCATGTCCATGTTTCTTCATGTCTATCTGTCTGTCCGTGTGTGTGTCTGCGCGTGTGTGCGGGTGTGCATGTGTGTGGTATCTGCATTCAACAACATCTCTCTTTTCTCTCTCTCTCTTTCTCACTCTTTTAACCTTCTTCTCTCTAACTTTTCCCACCTGGCCCTCCGTCTGTCTTGTCTTGGGTTTTACTTACACTCTCTGTCTGCCGCTTAATCTCAGAGACCCAGCTGTCTCCTCCCTCCCTCGTCCCCTCGCCGGTACCTCGAATTGGTGTTGACCAAACCCACGCCTGGACCTTGGACCTTAGACCACTTCCCCATGTTTGAGAAGAGAGCTGTCACCCATTGACCGGCTCTTGCTATCTCCTCCTCCCCTACCATTGAGGAAATTGCACTTGGCTTGTCCTCTTTAGAAATCAGAGCCCCCCGGAGTGTCCGTACCACTCGCCGACACACCACCCTCGAGCTACACTTCTCGGCCTCGGGAACTTCTTCCGTCCCACCAGGTCGTTCATTGTGGAGGAAGGGCTTCTGCTCTCTTCCCCGTCTCGAACCGATTGTCTAGTGCCCGTTTCTTCCTCGAGACGAGGCAGTAAGTCACCTAAGCTTCCCGAAGCTTCAGGGCGATCGCTCTACCGATATACTCGAGGTGTAAATTCACCTTGGTCTTTTCTGAGGGTGCCACAGGGCCACGATCAACTTTAGTCCTAGGACTGCGGGTTTTGGATGGAGAAATTAGTTCCCCCGCCTATTGTGTGTGGTGAACAATAGGGGAAGTGATTGTAGGTGGAACTATTGTTGAATTGAGTGGACGGTTGGGGTGAATCGGCTCAGTCAATACTCGAGATCAAAACCTCCAGCCAACTTAGCCAACCGTTTCCTTAAAGTTCACGTCACTAGACCAGCAATCTCCCGTACTGTCAAAAAGCTGGCATCGCTTCTGATCTTCGACTTTTCCTCAACATCACCACCGCCCGACCACTCGCAAATCGACTCGTTCCCGACCACAAGAACTTCTTCCGCCCATGTATCGATCTGCAATTACAGCAACACTTTCTCATACCCTCCCGCCTTCTCCCACACAGCCTACGTGCGGCCGGAGAATACAGCTTCCTTTGCCCCATTCTCTCACGCTCGAGAAATCCTCGGAGCATTTCCAATCGCCAGGAGCCAGCGTCCTGTCGAGCGGGCTTCGAACCCCTCCAGCCGACGAAATGGGCACCACATACCATGCCCCAAACCTCGCACCGTACGAGAACCACAATGTCTCCCTACCGGGGTATCCTTCAGCTTTGGCTCAGGCAGACAGAACAAGGACGGTATTGAGCGACATCAATGGTGGTCTCGCCAATTCAGCCCGCTACTCAGCTCAGAATCAACCCCAACCCCACTCACAAACCCGACTCATCACCACATCCTCAAGTTCAACCGTCCAGCCCTCATCCCGACACTCGACCCGACCCTCGACACCAACTGGATCATCCTCAAAGATCACAATGGCGTCTGAGGGGAAGCCCCTACGGCGAGACTCTTTGTCCCTGACACTCCACAGCATGACCATACCAAGCTGTATCAGCCCCAATGGAGGCAATATTGCCGACTTCGCGGCACAGGTTAGCTTCCCCCCATCATTTGCTCACCTAGCTTATCATTCGCTAATTTTTGTTTTCACCAGGTTACTTGCCTGCTTTGGTTTGAGTCCCCCAAAGTTCTCGAGGCAGCTGAGAACGTTCGAAGCCTTCCGGCTACCGCTCCCATTCGAAGGCTGACAGAGCATGCGATTCCTTCACAGCAATTCACAAAATGGGTGCAGGCAGTTTTCACAACCACGCAAATTGCGCAGAACGTGATGCTATTGGCATTGATGTTCATTTACCGCCTGAAGATGACCAATCCCAACGTCAAGGGTCAGTCTGGCAGCGAATATCGGCTGCTGACTGTAGCTTTAATGCTAGGCAACAAATGTAAGTGCAACGACATACCTGTGGTGAATGGAGCTAGTGAACTAACAGGGCATGCAGTCCTCGACGATAACACCTATACAAACAAGACTTGGGCCGATGTATCTGGCATTTCAGTGCAGGAAATTCACGTCATGGAGGTCGAGTTCTTGAGCAATATGAGATATAGTCTCTTGGCTTCGAAGGAGCATTGGGACGAGTGGCTCCTCAAACTTGCGCACTACTTTGAGTATTGCGAGCGAGCAATGAAGCCCCTGTCTCCTATTCTGATGTCGTCACCAACCCACCGCGGCTTTGCCTCTCCGCTACCATCGCCTACCAACAATGTGCAACTTACCCCGTTGTCTACCACTGCATACTCTCCGAGCTCACACAATCTCAACAACGGTCAGAACTGGCCCGTGCCATATCAGGCGGCCCCTGCTCTCTCGCCATTGGCAAGCAGACCGGATCTAGGCAACAATAGGAAGAGGAGTCTGGTCGATGAGGAGCTGGTCGAGCCCCCGGCGAAGCGTCCTCCCCGCCATCAGCCACAACTATCTCAAGGCAGGGTGAACAGACCAACTCCCAACCCGGTCCCTGAAGCAGTTCGGTTGTCTATACCAAATCTCACCCTGAATACCGGGTCCGTACCTCCCGCTACTCAGGCTGCCTATCCCGCGTCTGTCACATATGCTCCACAGCAGCAGTCCGCACTGTCACTGCCCCCTCTCGTTCCTGGTGTCCGGGCAATGGCTACAGTTTTCCCAACCACTACCACTACGACCTTTCCCCCTCAACTACCGCTCTTGAGTACGAACGGCCTTCCTGGAACAGTGCCATCTGTGATGACGACTCCGACGACACATTATCCGCCTGCAACGTCCGGGTATGGAACACCTACGAAACGCCTCAGCCCAGTCAATACTTTGACCCCCGCCGCGGCGTATGGGACATCTTCGCCTCTAACCGAGGCCTTCCCTCATCACTCGGGTCTTCACACTCCCATCTCGCATTCACCTTCAGTATACCTGCAGCAGCGCCCTAGCCCCTACAGACCGGTCCGTCATGTCAATACCCTCCTCTATCCACCACCATCAGCGAGCTTGCAGGAGTACCACCTGAGTGGCACTGCCATACCCCCGACACAGATGCACTATCAGCCTCTCGGTCGACGAAACGATATCCGCACTGGCATTGTGCCCGAGTTTCGCAATGGGCTGTTGTACAGCGGCAATGGGTTACCATCGCACTCTCTGACACCGATTCAGACGGTTCCTGGCCAGCAGAGACTGATGCCCCTAGGACAGGGTCAATATCCAAACTGAGGGGGCTCCACGACCGAGACAGGACAACATATAATTGCACGACTACTTCTTACGACACCACTACGATCTGATCCATCGATCTATCACATTTCATGTGTGTAACATTTCCAATTCGACAGCTCGATTTGCATGGCTTTCGGCGTTTTTCTGGTATCGTCAGTGACGGCCTCTACTCTACAGGCATTGACGGAACAACACCATGAGCGCCCATTCGTTGTCCCCCAACAGTGGACAACACCTTGATTTTCACAATTTCGCATCACATTATTAGACACTTAAGATCATCACCTTGCATCACTCGGAGTTTATTCTGTTCATTAAAAGGAGGCAGAAGCTGGATAAGGGATTTTGCAGAAGTGAGGGGTAAGACGACAGTGTCTTCACACAGATTCATCGGCAATCACCGTCAGAGTAACGGCTGAGGATAGCCGTGAAGAAGAGACAAGAGAATTGGAGGGCTTCAAAGCTCCCAGAGGTGGTTTGTCTCCAGCGCTTTGCCTTGAGGAAGTGAGAATTCCTCAGGATTTGCTACGATAGTAGATAGATGAAAAGAGAAACCGTCAGCAATGGCGCGATTGCAGTTGCACTCAGACTTCTGATGGCGTAATTGTGTTTACTTCAGGATAAAATTCCGTTATCAACTCTTGCACATGTTGTCCCATAAGACATTTTCAGAAGATTAGAGACGTCTCTCTTAGCTTGATCACACAACTCCCGGCGTATTTGACGGAAGACAAGGCCATGTACCTTGGGGATGCCTGCCGGTTGAGTCACGCCGATTGCTATATACTCCTTGCAGCGACCCCGCCATATTGAGTACTTGACAGCTGCATGTTATAAAATAGTGAATGGCAATTGTCTGCCTTGCTACCGACCTCGAAATGCCATCGCAGGAGACGGAATTACTGCTCCCTCTCTTTTCTAGGCACAGACGGTAGCAGCCAGCCAGCCAGCCAGCCATGTCGTCGCAGAACATCTACGACCAGGCGGATTTCTTCGCCAACTACGCCGGCATCGACCGCTCGGTGCTCGGGCTCGCCGGCGCCCCTGAGTGGCCACGCCTGCGCGCCCTGCTGCCGGACCTGGCGGGGCGCCGCGTGCTCGATCTCGGGTGCGGCTTCGGCTGGTTCTGCCGGTGGGCGCGGTCAGGGGCTCCGGAGGGCGGCGGCGCGGCGGCGGTGCACGGCGTGGACCTCTCGAGCAACATGCTGGAGCGCGCGCGGCGCATGACGTCCGAGAGCGGCCTCGACGGCATCACGTACGAGCAGGCGGACCTGGAGACGCTGCCGCTGGCGGAGGCGGAGACGTACGATGTCGTCTTCAGCTCGCTCGCGCTGCATTACCTCGTGAGTCTGCCGCGGCTGGTGCGCGGGGTGCACCGCGCGCTCAGGCCCGGCGGGGCGTTTGTCTTCTCGGTCGAGCATCCCATCTTCACGGCGCCGTCGCGGCCGGGGATCGTCAAGGTGCAGGGGGAGGACGGCAAGGAGCGGCGGTACTGGCCGCTGGACGACTACCAGCGCGAGGGCCTGCGGGTGACGGACTGGCTCGCCGAGGGGGTGCGCAAGCAGCACCGCACGGCGGGCACGTACATTGGGTTGTTGCTGGAGGCGGGCTTCGAGCTGACGGCGTTTGACGAGTGGTTCCCGCGCGACGGGGAGCTGGCGGACAAGCAGGAGTGGGAGCGCAACGAGATGGTCAAGCCTACGTTTCTGCTTGTGAGGGCTGTGAAGAAGGCTGTCTGATAGAACGGCTTCAATGTCTCTACTATTGCCCTACCTAGGTAGTTTACTTCCAATGGTCTAAGAGGGGGAGGATGATGAGTACCCTGGAAATTGTCTTGCTTTGGACCTACTCCTACTCTTCCGTCAGAGGTCAATAACGCTTAGACTCATAGCGTTAAAGATAATGAGACGAATACCATAACACCTATTGAGACCTCGAACATTCTGAAATTGCAATAAACAAAGCATGAGGACTGCATGATACCCCTGATGATAACCCTGAAGAGCTAGCCCGGACCCCGGGCATCGGGACATTTCTGTACGGCAGTCAAGCTTCCCCGCAACGCTCCGCACCGTTGACCCTATCTATCTGGGGATGTGATCTCATGGCCGCACAGTGGGGATGCAATCATGGAGTCAATCTGGAAATCTCTTTGATTCGTGCAAAATCCCCCCAGTTCTTGGGGGTTCGCCCTCGTATAGTGCATTCCCGCCTGTCAGTAAACTTCCCCTGCCCGCCGGGCCGGAGGGCATATGCCCGAATGACGATGGATGGGCTCGTTGATTAAAGTCAATAGAAGTTCTCCCCACGGGCCGGTCTCGCTAGCCAACCAATACTCTGATATAGACCAGTGTTTATTTGTATAGAGAGTATCCGACAACTTCCAATTGACTTCCTTTGTTCATGATGCGGCCGTCATGGACCCTGGCCATACTGGGCTGCATTCTCGCGCCGGTTGCAATTGCGGAAAAAGAGCCGGGTTGTAGGAAGACGTGTACAGTCAAAGCTAGCGGCACCAATGTAACAGACGATGCCCCTGCCATTCTCGAGGCATTTCACAAGTGTGGGCGTGGTGGGAGGGTGGTTTTCAAGCCAACAACATACTACGTCAACTCCGTTCTGAATATCACTTGGCTAGAGGATGTTGATATCGACATACAAGGAACTCTACTAGTAAGATTACAACTTCTTTGAGGGAGACAAGATTGCTGAATGGCTTCCACAGTGGAGCACTGATATCACATATTGGCTCAACCACTCGTTACCGGTCGGATATCAAAACCAGTCGACGGCGTTCGTCCTGGGCGGAAATAATGTTCGAATAGATGGCCATGGAACGGGCACATTTGATGGCAACGGAGACTATTGGTACGAGTGGATCAAGAAGCAACCTAATACTTCGAATTACCCCGGTCGACCACATGCTCTAACGTTGAATGGCTTGACGAATTCGGTCGTTCGCGGTCTGACGTTCCTGAGAAGTCAGATGTGGTAAGTTGAGGCCTCTTGTGTTGTTTGTTTCCATTTTGAGCTAATTTGGCTGCCCTCAGGACAATGTCTATTATCTACTCTCACCCTGTCGAGCTTGATAGCATCCTCGTGAATAACACGGGGAATCGAGTTTCTAGCTGTATGTTGGACATGCCATAACGGATGTATAGCAACTAATTCCTCCCTGTTTAGCTAACACTGATGGCGCCGACACGATTCGCTCATCACACATTACGTTCAACAACTGGACTGTCTATAACGGAGACGATAGTCTTTCCATGAAGGCCAATAGTACCGACATTACCATAACCAACTCCCGGTTTTACAATGGACTTGGCATAGCGATTGGGAGCATTGGGCAGTATAAAGGCCAGTTTGAAACGGTCGAGAGGGTCCGTGTTGACAACATAACCTACAAGAATACTCTACATGCTGTAAGTTTCTATCGACCCCTGTTAACGGAAATCAGTATTCATGACATTGATCTCCAGGTATACTTCAAGACATGGACGGCGGATCAAAACGGCTATCCGCCAAATGGAGGAGGTGGCGGGCTAGGATGTGAGTCTACGACATCGATCACAGAGAACAGACGTTGACAACAACAACACAGTTGCTGCTGACATGACATTCGACAACTTGAATGCAAACGCAATGCGAGGCGCTGCCTTTGCGATATCTCAGTGCACCCGCTTCAGTGGCGCGCCAGGAGTCGGCAACTGCACCAACTCGCCCTTCCAGATCCGTGATGTGACCATCGATGGCCTGACGGGGACGACTGCTTCAACTCGCGTAGCCAGTTTGCAGTGCAGTGCTGTTGCGCCGTGTACCAATATAGGATTGCTTGATGTCGACTTGTACTTGACCAACGGCACCGAAGCTGGTGAGTATTTGTGTGGAAACGTTGTCAATCCTGAAGGGTTTAACTGCACCGGGTCGCCGTGTGTAGGCGGCAGCGCAACAGGAGAGTGCTAGTCAAGGTGAAATACACACTTGCAATAATAGACCTATAATTATCATCATTGCCATCATTATACCTTCAAGGAGTTGAGGACGTGTCTACTGTTGTAGCATCACCACCTTCCAAGATGGTAACTGCGTTGCCGAGGTTATGATTCCGTGACAACTACTGTAGGGAACGTCTATTACCCCAGCTGATAAGTGAAAGTATCGCTCGGCTCATCTATAGTATATCCTCCATTTTTGTGTATCAAGGGCTATAATAAGGAGTTGGAAGGATCCATTGTCCACGCGTATACTATGCAGTAGATGGAGCCAAGGGGGGAAGCGCCGGTCCCGATTGGGTTTAGGTGCCGAGACGTTGCGTCTTGATTGAGAGTGAACAGAAATCTTGGAAGAGAGTTGCAGTGCCGCCCAGGTGCCAGGTGGCCGTCAGGTGGCCCCACCTGCCCTGATGCCCTGCCCTTGCTTTTTTTTTCTGCGCTACAGAAGCAACACGGGACTGGCTGGGCTGGCTGGCTAGTGGCCCGACCCCCTTCCAAGGTTCTCTACTTCAGCCCTCAACGCCAGACAAGTAGCAACCAACTTTCCCGGCCCAGCAACCATCAAGCAACGCCCCGACACTCGTTCGTTCACCATCCACATCCATCCATTACCCAACCGCACGGTTGGCCAAACATCCCACCCTCGTTAATACCCCTCCCGACTCTCGCTCTGTCTAGTCTATTGTGTGTGTGTGTGTTTTCTTAATGACCTTGTAGTCCTTGTTTGAGAAGAAATACGGTAGCCCTTACTGCTATCCCCCTCGAGACATCGATCGCCATTCTACATTCCAGTCGAGCCTAGCCTCCCGTTTTCCAACCCGCCTAGAAAACCTCGTATTCCCGCCCTTCGTGTCCCAGCATAGCGTCACCTCTCTCGTTCACTCATCAACATCCCTATTGTTATTGCTGCGACGACATCCATTTGGGGGGGATCATTCTGAGGTGGAAGGGATCGAAGCAATCGCCAAATCCGACGACAAAATCAATCGCTCGCGCGTCGGACCACGCCTCATTTCGTCTCCCGATCACTCGTTTCTTGCCGACGGCCCTCCAAGTCTTTCTTCGTCGTACCTGAATTGACGAAGGAGGCTCCTCAGTTGTCGCCATGTCTTTTGGTGACTTCACCAGCATCTGCCACACGGCACCGCTGCCGTTGTGTGCTGCAGTCGGACCCATCACGTCCATCTCGAGCGGCGTGGGAATCGAGCCCGACTGCTACGCACGGAATATCGAACTGGCAAACACCATCATCTTCCAGGGCGCCGCCAGTGCCATGCACATCGTTGCCCTGGTCATGACCGTCACCATGATTCTGCACGTCCGGGGCAAGTTCACAGCAGTTGGCCGGAAGGAAATAACGACCTTCTTCTACCTCTACATGCTTCTGACCTTCATGTCCCTCATCGTCGACGCCGGAGTCGTTCCCCCCGGCTCGGACCCGTACCCCTACTTCGTCTCTGTTCAAAATGGTCTTGCCTCTGCTCTCATCACCTGCCTTCTGATCAACGGCTTTGTGGGCTTCCAGCTTTATGAGGATGGGACGCCGCTCTCGCTATGGATGATCCGTCTGAGCTCTCTTGTCGCATTCATCATCACCTTCCTCGTATCGTTGGCCACCTTCAAGACATGGGCAGGCCTGGGCCCCACGAAGACTATTGGACTATTCATTGTCCTCTACCTGTTGAATGGTGTCGAGCTGCTGGTGTACGTTGTGATGCAGATCCTGCTTGTCACGCGCACTCTGCAGGACCGCTGGCCACTGGGAGACATCACCTTCGGCATCTTCTTCTTCGTTGCCGGCCAGGTCATTCTCAACGCCTTCAGCGCACCGATCTGCGAGGCTGTCAGCCACTACGTGGATGGGCTCTTCTTCGCCACGACTTGCAATCTCTTGGCAGTCATGATGGTTTACAAGGTTTGTTCCATGCTCCTTCCTTCACAACACATACTGGTGCAAACACTAACGCTGTGGCAGTACTGGGATTCGATCACTAAGGAGGATCTGGAATTCTCGGTCGGCACAAGGATGAACAACTGGGAGGTCAAGGAGCTGCTACCCGAGGACGAGAGACGAGCCACCGTGTACGGCGACGACCCGTATGGCCAGTCCAGCGCGTACGACCATGCCTACTCGCCAAGCAACAACAGGTACTCCAAGTACTGATTCTCATTATTGCTGCTCTCCCGTGGAAGACGCATGGAGCCGGCGTTGGTTCGATTTGAGGCTATTTGCTTGAAGAGGATACTTGTATAGACATGGCACCCGTTGTTTCAAGCCAAGAAAAAGAACATTTACCTACAAGGTTGCATCAGCGAATGGAATGGCGTTTTGAGGCGGTCTCTGCTTTTTCTCAGGAGGGAACAACTGGATAGCTGGTGGGAGCGCAAAGGCTCTGGGGCACAACGGTTCATAGGACTTTTTTGATAATGCTTGATTCGTATAATCCTATAGGATTAGCCCGTATATAATATACTGTACTTGACACAAATTGCACCTGCAACTCTAGAACTCGTGATCTCGGTACGTGATATGGTTTCTGCTACTTCAGATGTTCGACTGCTTAGTAGCATGTAGCAAATGCCGGAGGGGCTGCCAAACAGCCGTTGTAGTCATAAGATGCCTATGGTATAGGGAGTGTTGTAGCACACTATATGCCCAAGCCCGCCAAAGACACTTGATAATATAGGGCCGAGTCTCATCGTGTGTCTGCGTCGTGTTCACCTAATGAGCCATTCTATATATTGGGAGAGACACTCTAGGCATTATAATGTCTCGTCTGACTTGGATCGCGTAATGATGTGCTACACGAGACACACGATAGTCAGATGTTGCATTAGGCTATATGCCGGAGCAGTAAGGACTTATACCAGACGCGAGCTGGCATTGGGTCTTTGGGCCTTGGGTCTTGGGTCTTGATACTCGTCGCGAGCCGGATTTGCTCTGATTGCCGCAGGGTTGAGGTTAATTCACCTGCCTTATACACTAGAGTAATCAGCTACCTACTAGAATACTATGCAGTACCTTCGGTAGTTGGCATCCAAGCGAGCCATTCCATCTCAAGAAAGGAAGAAAGAAAGGACAGAAAAGAAAGAAAGAAAAAGAAAGAGAGAGAGTAGGAGGGGAGCGTATAGCGCACGGGCCACATTGCGCTTTTTCGTACCTACATGTACCTAGCGGCCTAGGTACTGCACAAGACGCTAATGGATGAGGTTATTGCCCAGCTTGCTGCACTGGGTTTAGGTGGTTTAGGTGCAGCAAGCAGGCCATGTGCCTAATCAACCTGCTACAGCTGGTACGCTAAGCTACAGTGAGTTATTATTTCCATCACGGGCAGCCAGCACTGCACAACCGAGATTCCATCTCATCACATCAAACCTTTGCAACTTTGGAATCTCGCTCACCACCACGACGCAACTCGCGGCCAGCCAGGCTTTGGCAAGCGACGGGTCCAACGTCGAGGAAAACAAGTATTACTCACTGACTGACTGACTGACTGGTGGTGCAGCGGCATGCTGAGAGTGCGGTACGTGGCAGTTTCCTGTTGATATACCCTGAAAGGCATCTTCTATCTTCTATTTGCATCATACACTCACTCGATCTGGCGTCGTATTTGCTCAGGGCCTCAGGCCAGCCAGCGCATGAGGCTATTGCAGTGCTACCTACGTATCGCATCGCATCGCTTTCCCCGTCCCATGCCTAGTGCATTGCATTATCTGCCTACCTGCAGTCGCATCCACCACCCCCCTGGGATACCTGGGATATGCGCGTCTCCAAACTCTATCTCAAGGCTGGTTCCCTGGAAATCTGGCATCACAAAAACCCTCACTCACTGGCCATGCTTTTTACTTTATCTTTCCTTTGCACTCCTGCCTCGCTCGTACCGTCTGATTGATCTTATGATGACTGCTCTCCTGCTTATTTTATCATCCTATGGCGCTTCCACACTTTACTAAGATCCCCCCACTCTCTTAAACCTTATATATATATAACATAACAACCACATCCACGCTGCACACATCAGCACTTAGGAAAAGCCTGCGTCCTTTTTACTAATCACATTCAAACAGCATTGTCAGGCACCTCTGAGCAGTCTTTACCAGAAGATCCTCCGGTGCTTTTGGTGCGGTGCTGACAATGGCGGACAAGAGCGCCCTGTGGTCCGATATTGAGGCCAACTACTGGGCCCAGCTCAAAGACGTGCGCCTGGCGGAGGACAAGGAGATTGCCGAGGAGCGGGACCAGCTGGTCGAGAGCCGCAAGATCAAGCTGACCAAGCTCTACCACGAGCGCCACCAGCTTGCCACTGCGCTCAGCAACATCCGCAAGCAGATCAACGAGGAGGAGACCGAGCTCGACGAGCTCGAGCAGTCGTACGAGGACCTGCGCGACAAGGTGCTCGACGATCGCCAGAAGGACGACGAGGACCGCCGCGCCTGGTTCCGGCGGCATCGCGGAAATGGCGGCGCCAACGAGAAGCGGGCTGGTGGGCAGGAGGAGGTCGTCGACGTGGACATGGGCGAGGACAGCGTCAATGGGGCCAGCAGCATCGACGCATCTAAGGACGGCGTACGACAACGGCTGTACGAGGAACCTCGAGGAAACAATCTGTCATCAGCACCGCCAGATGGGCCCCAGAACTACGCCTACAGCACTGCAGACCCGTCCGTGGCCCCTGAGGAGCCGAATGCTGTCGAGGTGTGGAATGCAGACGGGGCCAAGATCGGCCGCGTAGAGCACATCGGCTTCAGCAATCAATGGGTGGACAAGATTTTGAAGATGCCCATCAGGCGTCGCGTGCAGATTCGGGCTGGTCGGAAGATGACGCCCGAACAGCTGGAGAGCATCTACGAACCTAGTGACAGTAAGGGTGCTAAGTGGTTGAGCTGCATGATCCAGGCCACAGGCCAGATTCAGGCGGAGCCGTGCCGCAGCTGCTCTAAAGGACCAGCTGTATTCTCCGACTGCGTGATCGTCGGAGGGCCGGATTTCCCAAAGTGTGGCAACTGCGAATGGAATCGCCAGGGCTGCCAAGGTGCGACTCCCGGTCCTCAGCCTCTGCAGAACAGTAGTCAGTCGCTGTCTCCTAGCACGGGATTCAGGTACGCCCAGAATGCATTCAATGGAAGCTTCACGGCTGTCAACGATCTGGCTAGTAGGAATTCCACGCCGAAGGGGTCACGGCATTCGTTGCCAAACGGAGCCGGCAAGCATCAGCCTCAAGCCTCTCAGCAGGATCCGGGCACGCCAGCGAGCGATGGCGAGGACGAAGGGGTAGATGATACGATCATGGATGCGGGCCCCGAGATAACGCGCGAGACGCTCACGCTGCGTCATGACGGCACTATGTATACGGCACCCGAGATCATGCGCGGCGTCCCCATTGCTCGAATCACGCCAAGCCATCCGTACTGGGAACCCAGCTGGAAACCCCTCGAAGAGTCCATCCAAGCGCGTCTTGATTCATGGAGGGAAAAGCTCGCTCAGCAGCTGCGTGACAAGGAAAAGCACTTTATGGCAGGGCGTCAAGTCAACCGTGGCACAGCTATCATGGACTTTTTGAAGAACGGCTCCATCCACCCGTATCAGTTCATCGCCAAGCCATGGTTCACCACAAGTCTATTCACATACGATACCGTTTATCGGCTTGTTGCTATTCTCGATGAGCTTCCTAAACTTGGTATCACAGTATCACCTCTTGATTGGGCTCGTCAACGGATGCACGAGCTCTATTTGGAACAGGGAGAGCAGTTCAACGTGGCCAAGACAGTTCATGACTTCTACCATGACCCGAAGCTCGCATATCTACGGCACAAGGCCGGACACCGAAGCATTGGCCGACCTGCCGGTATGAAGCGTGGAGAAAAACGCGGCAATCATCGAAAGGTGAGCCAGAAGCGTAAGGAATCGGCGTCAGTATCAGCAACCCCTGATGGGAAGAGGAAGAAGCGGCGGTATTCGTCCGCGGGCAGCTCACACCACGGAACGCCTTTGGAACGGGAACAGCCTCCTGACTTGGCCATGATGCCGCGCCATAGCGGTATCCCACCGATTCAGCCACGACCTTCCGACCTACCTAGTGCGCCATTGCAGCAGACTCCCGTTCTTGGCAGCACGGGTGTTCCTGGGCGATCCTCAACAGTGTCGGACGTGCCGGACGACTTCGAGACCAGCGGCTACACCACCAGCGACTCATTTAGCAGAGACAAGGTGATGAAAGTCGACTGGCGCGTGTACCAGATCAAGACGGCGTCTCAGACGACCAATACAGAGATTACGCAGTACTGGCACTGGGTCGACACCGTCCAAGACGACGACGGGACCAAGATCGAGCACATGTTTGAGCACCAGGTGCTGCGCGACGTGGATCCTCCCAGCTGGGGCGTCTACAAGGAGCCCATCGACTTCCACCTGCGGCTCAAGGAGATCGAGTACATTGAGTGGGCGCCCGAGTGCCAGAAGATCATTGTCCACACAAAGGAGATCCCGGACGTTGAGTACCGGGGGAATGTGCTGGCGCACTTCAAGCGGAACCGTACGAAGAAACGGTTCCTGAGCTTTCTCAACCGCAGAGGCGTGGATATCAGGAAAGGCGACGCGTAAGTTTGGCACTACCATTGCCAGCAGGTAGCTTATTGGCAGACCGACAGAAAATGCTGACTCTTCACAGTCCCCAAATCGAGTACACTTGGAATAGCACAGAGTCCGAACTACTCCCCGATGACGATTCCGAGTAGGAAATGGACAGCTCGAGTGAGGAGATCTAAGTACGACAGTGATCTCCAAGCTGGACGGAGCCACAAGCTTGATTCCACCGCATAGCAAGAGGATTTTCAAACTCGAAGAAGAGCTGTTTGATTATGTACGATTGGTGGCATTATATAGTTTTGGGATGCGGATGCTCAACAGACTCTCACGAGGCTCATAGGACGTTTTTTAAACTGGGAAAGGATGGCCAAATGGAAGAAATGGCGTACGGAATAATGGATGGAAGACCAGGCCATGATGTCTTTTAGGGCGTCAACTTTTCCTTGCTTTCCACAATGATACCATCGCTGCAAGTGCAAGGGCTTCTCTTGTTTCTCTTTTCTTCTTCACGCTCAATTGCGATGATTCTTTCGCATAAAAATAATATAGTTACAACGGACCGGGAGAGAACCCGATTTCGTTGGGGACGTTAGGATGAATTCGAGAGATCCCCGGGTTGTGAGGTTGCTCTAATGATATCCGCTTCCTTCTTGGTATATCTGATTATTATGTATATAGCAGCTGTATAAGAAGACAATTCGCCATGATGAGCAGCTCTCCTGCCCCTGACTATTATTAGGGGGACGATGAGGGCAAACTCTGTACATGAAGGAGACCTTCTAGCGTCTAAGTGATTTCTCCGGGGTAGTTAGCAACGTCGATAAGAAATTCAATGGTAGAAACGGAACCCGTCTGATTCTCCTAAAGTATATTTGCAATTGATAATAATGATGCGCGGTTCTGGAGTAGGGGATATCACGATTCCGCCGCCCGTTGTCCCGCCCCGCCCAGCCAGCACCCAGCGGGACCCTGGCACCTCAGCCCAGAGCCGCCAAAAATTTCCACTGCGGCAACTTCCGCCGACTCTGCTCTGGCTCAATTGAGCACACCTCATTCTACATCGTTAAATCTTCCGACGTTCAATGTCGGCGGCGCACACGGCAAGATGTTGTACGAGTTGATAGGAATAGTAAGTCTTCGACGACTATGGAAGCTCTCTACTCCTTGTATACTAACCACTTTGCTCGCTCCAGGTCCGACCCGGCAACCTCGCCGAGGTAAAAGAGTACGCGATTCCATGCCATCCCATGCCATCCACCAGCCCATCCATCGTCATGAGCAGCGAACGCCTTCAACCAGCCCGCAATCCCCTTGACATCCCCCAAAGCTAACAGCCCCCGCCCCTCTACAGAATCGTCCTCACAGCCGGCCAGCTCGTCCTGCGGCAGGGCGGCGTGATCCGGTCCGTCGCGAACTGGGGCGTCTTTGCGCTGCCGCGCGCCATCAGCAAGCACCAGATGCGGCACCACAACGGGCACTACTTCGTGCTGCGCTACGACGCCAGCGTGGCGACGCAGGAGCAGGTGCGCTCGACGCTCGCGCTCGACCCGCGCGTCATCCGCTCGGCGAGCGTCAAGCTCGGCGACAACAGGCTCGAGACGCTGAGCAAGTTTGGCCAGATCCGCTGGGATCGGGCGATATGAGTGGGGTGGCTCTTTGTCTGGGGTGGTGCGTACGTGGAGGAGTTAGGAAGAGGAGATGGACGGTTGGACAGTAGAACGGCATGTCGTGGTGGTGGAGAGGATGGTCTGGGGAGGAGTGGCGTGAGGTGGTAATGGCTAGATGCCATCGTGCCTCGAGCCCAAAAACGGCGCCAAAACGCCTGGGCTGATGAAAAGCCCAGCCATGTGTATACATCTTTGTATGATACGGCTACAATTCTTGCGAGAATCCGACCCAACAACCAAGAGGAGGGGATGGAAATGCTTCCTTGTATAACATCAAACACACTGCTACATTCACAAGAACCAGGGAACGGAGCATAATAGAATTTGTCCTTGTCATTCCGGCTTGCACTTCAGTGATCTACTATGATATGTAGCAAAGAGCCTGCCAAACCAAATGGTGTTCGTGTCATGTCATCGTGTGATCCTGTCTCTCAGGAATCAGTGTCCATGGCGTCCCTCGCCCGATACCAAGCCACAAAGTCGTCTATGACGCCCGGCCAGGCCCCGTCCTCGCTCCAGAAACCGAGGGTCTCGTCGTCCATCGTCTTGCTTGCAAACTCGAGGGTCTGGTTCCACATGTCCTTGTTGACGGACCTCGTCCACTTCTCGCCTAAGAACTCCTTCCACAGCTTCAGCCAGTCGTGGTTTGCGGTCTGCCAGGGCCGTCCGGGCGGCGAGAAGATCATCTCCCAGAAGATCAGGGCGTTCTCCAGGCTCAGGGCTCTCTGCTCCGGCTCCTTGCACGCGACAAAGGTGTGCCGGTAGACCTTCTTGAAGTAAGCCGGGTCGGTGCCTAGCTGGGTTACTCGGCTGCGGATGGTCTGCTGTTGTGAGGCTTGGGAGGCACTGGCACTGTAGTAATACTGTAAGTCAAATGTCTGGGGAGCCATATTTGGAACATGAAGCATACCCAGCGGCCTTCCAGCCCTCCACAAAGCCTGTCCGTGTGATCTCTCCAAAGCTGGGTGCTTGAACTAGCTCGAGCGCCACGAACATCTCTGCGTTCTCCATGTCAACGCCCAGATCGGCCAGATACGCCATGGTAGACTCGGCACTGATCGCGTCGTTTGAGTCTCTTGAGAGATCTACCCATAAAATTAGCCCAGGCCCCATCTGCAGTGTATCAGCACAAGACTCACCTCTCAGCTCGTCGAACATCTTGTCCAGGGCAGCCTCCTTAGAGGCAGCACCCGCGCCACCTCCATTTGAGTTCGAGCTGAAGTATCTATGAGAGCGCAGGTCAGCTAAGCTCCCAAGATTGCATGACACGCTAAACGACAGTAGAGACAGGCGCAACATCAGTTTCGGAGACTGGCCCATCTTGTGGCGCATGGAAAGGTGTGCCACAGTTGGCTGTTCGATCTGAGCTGCGACTGGATTTTGGGAGGGCTGGGTTGCGTTTGATTCATGGAGCAGCATACCCGGCACCCTTCTTCTTGCGACCTCGTTTCGCCGGCATCGTTGCAGTAGCTGGACGTGTATCCGGCTGAGCTTGTCTCGGGGCGAGGATGGTCGGAGGTTCTTCTGGTCGACTGGGAGTTGAGCTGGCTACCAGAAAGGAAGAGGACCGGGGGAGGTCGGTTGCTGGAGGAGTCGGCGCGGCAGTGTCATCGCCGCTGGTGGTGGATTTTCCAGAAAGCCGGCGTTTGTCCCTGGGAGAGCGCTTGCCGAAGCACATTTTGTTTGAAGCTTGTGGGCGTGATTTCTTAGGCTAACAAAGGGAAGGTGCAGATTTGTGAGGCAGCCATCAGGCTCTTGCCGTGGAAATCATGGACTCCCGCAGATGGAAGCCACGACTGGTCCTATCCAAACTCTGTTCGTCTGCTGCCAGGAACCGGGAACCCGTCTGCCTCCCCTTTTGGTTCACAGGTTGGCCTCTTCCACTCTCCACCAGAACCAATTGCGCCCACTTCAACCTAACTGGCGCCTTTCCCGGTATCAGACGTCAACCTCGTGATCTTGTCTCCCTCTCCCCGAAGCTCCTGGAAGCTCGAACAGGTCTCCAGCTCCAAATTGGCAGGGTATAGTTGTCGTCACCGGAAGCCGGACAGAACCAGTTTAAGTCGATCAAGACAATGCGCCGAAAAAGAGGTGTCCAACGTCTCGACGAAGGGCAAAGAAACCAAAGGTGAAACCAGAAATACACTTACGCGTCGGCTGCTACGTCCAATTTGAAGTTGGCATTCTTCAAGAACTGTTTTATCCGGGACCGCGACATTAGCAACAGGGTCAACAATGGTCCGGGCTCCACAACAGGGCCGTCTATGTTAGACTCGAAGGAGGGGGTTATGTAGCATCAGAAGAAAAGGAGGATGAGATGAGGCTGCCGAGGTACAACACGTTGCGCGCTCATACACACACGCTGCTGGTCACGGCATACAAGACTCGAGACCGGGCGCCTTGGATGGGAGGTAAGGGGATGGTTCAAGTGCATGGACGGAAGACATGGGAGGGCCCGGTCCATGGATCGTTGACTGAGGTCGGGATCGGTGGAGTGGAAAGGAGAGAGCCAGAGAGCCAGAGAGCGAGAGAAGGAAGCTAGACTCACACGCAGGGCTGTCTTATCGTTGGCGCCGGTAGCCGCAACGAACTGCGATACAACCTGGGCCTTTTGGGCGCTGGTTAAAGAGGGCATCTTGACCGCCACCTGGTTGGACGGGGGCGGTATGATTGGAGTAACGGCAGGCGCAGGGCAGCCAGGCAGGTGTGGAGTACGGTGATAGGGGAGCAAGCAGAACAAGTCGTCGATATTCGTCGATATTGTTGCGTAGCGGTAGGACGCTTGTTCTGAGACGTTTCCCTCTTTGCCTGTCGGCCCGAATATCTGGTACGGAGTGGCTCTCCCGCGGGGGGGTTCCAGCACAGGCGCGCACAGCACGCACAGAATGCACGCACAGCTCGGTATGTACAGTACGAAATCCCGCCGCAGCAAGTCTCCCAGAAGCAACGACAGGTCGGGTCCCTGGCTGGCTGGATCCGGATCTGCGGGAAGACGGGGGTCGACCTAGCGTCAGATCTAAGGCAGGCCGGTGCGGATATAGGCTTCAGGTTCGAAGCTGGGCGGATTCAGGCGCTGGACGAGGATGTGGTCGGGGGAAAACAGCCGAAGCCGGGTTCAAGGAAGATGAATGAGGAGGAGGAGGAGGAGGATGGACGTTGGGCTGCAGCCATTCGACGAGGCTGAAGGCAAGAGGAAGAGCTAGCTAACACCACACATATCAGGGCAAGGGTTGTCTAACACCACCAGAATGTTACGCCGCCGCCTTGATTGAACGAGACCATCCGATGGCAGAGGTACAGTAGGTATGGCGGGGTCAATAAGGTGGCGGTAGGAGGGGCTTGCGCCTGATCTTGTCTTGCGCCCGCCGCACAGTATTCCTCTTTCCCCACGCCTCTGCTGGACTACTCTCGACTTGGTTTTAACATCTGCAAGTTTATCGTAACTAACTCTAAGGTGGCCGTTGAGCTCACATACTTCTGACTGCACTCCTCTTCGATCGTGGCAGCCGTCTCAAAGTGCTACACGTGACTGGTCTGGTCAGCGCATAACTGCATCCGGCCCCTGTAACATTTCTCCTTCGCGGGAAACAAAGCACAGGATGGCAGGTAGAGTACAATTACAGCCGCTCGGGCGTACTGCGGTGTGCGGTGTGCGGATGTGCCCTTGCAGCGTCGTGTTAGGGTGAGACAGGCGGGACGGCCATTGTCTCCGATGGGCTAAGGCAGGACGCATGACTGCAGATCTTATAGTGCTGTTTCCCCAATGGATGAATAGGGGGACGTATACACTGACTGATGTTCGGGTTGTATTTTCTGCGAGATGCCTAATATCTTACTCACTACTACTGCCTGGCCCCAACAACCGCAGCTTCAATGCCTCAAGAAAACAGTGACAATCGACAGACAGACAGACGAAAATCAAAGGGGTATAGCGTGGCAGGGACAGTACTCCCCTGCCTCGAATGTGTATATACACCGCCAGTGGTTGTAAAGAAAAAAAGAACAGATGGCCTGAGACAATCAGGCAGAAACAACAGCAAACTCCTCCCGGTGCAATGATGAAATGATGCTTGCCCAGCTCCTGGTGAGCACCTCCTTCGAACAGTCGAACATTCTCCAAAACATCTGTTTCAACGCCCCCTTCAAGAGGCTGCAGATACGCTCGAGCTTCTACTCGCCCAGTGGCATGCCCTCGAGCTCGTCAAGCAGTCGCCGCCAGTTGTCTGCAAGCATCTCGGCATACTTGACTCGCTCCTGTGCCCAGTCCTGGTTCCAGCGCGAGACATGGAACTGTGTCTGCTGGAAGTAGATGAGCTCGTCGCGAATGCACTCCTTGACAAACACAGAGCGGTTGTGCTGGTTGACAATGGACTCCTTGTCCTGTCCGGAGTGTCAATAGATGTCGAGTCGTGGTTGGTTAGACTTACCTTGATGATGGCCTCGACAACCCTCTCGATCTCCCCTGGCTTGACCATGCCTTCTGGTTTCGCCCGCAGGTTCGCCAGCTTGGTCTCGTTGGTCTGGATCCGCCGTTCCAGATACGGGATGTTGTCCTTGTCGAGACGTTCCTTGCGGTCGAAGAGATCTCGCACGCTGACTAGTGCGTCCCGCTGACGCTTCAAATCCTCCAGAACGCCCGCGTCCCATGCCTTGGACTCGTCCTCCATAAGAGTCTGGCTTGTTCGCAGGTGCTTGCTCATAGACTGCAGGCCATCGTTGAGAAGTGGGACGAGGTTTGTGTCAGTCGCGTAGGTATCAGAGGACACCTCAGTAAGCGAAGTAAGAGTGAGGGCAATGCGAGCATGGTCGGCGGCAACGCCTTCGCTGCGCTTCACGAGCCTGTCCATAACACTGCATACGTTGATGTACAGCTCGGCACTGCGTCTTACACCTGTACGCGTCCGGTCGAAGAGCTCATTCAGCTGAGGAGACAGCGACTCCTCCAGTCCAGAGGGCAGAGCACGCCCCGTGAATTCGTCTTGGACAGAGATGGTAGCTTGTTTACGCCAGACAGAGAGCTCCGTAGGCACGGTCAGGAACATAATGACCAGCTGCTCCTGACCGAGGATGGGATGACGGACAAGCGCATTCAGGAATCTAGCTAGTCCGCGTCGCCGCTTCTCGATGAAGGCGCCGTCATTTGAGAGATGGTTGCCATTGACTGCGAGGGCGTTAGTAATTTGGTGAGTTTAGAAGACCTTAGAGATGAGACATACCAGCAACGCGTTTTGGCGGAAGTAGAGGTAGCACCCTGAAAGGGTATCGCTTGTGTAGGCAGTCCAGGAGCCAGACAAAGTCGCTGTACCTCCTTATCACCTTGCTTCCACGGCGAATGCTCGACACTTCGTAATTGTGATGTTGAAACATGAACATGCCCTCCTTTTCCGGCATCAGACCGACTACGATGTTCTCCTCGACCAAGCCTCCCGTGGTTCTGCTGCCAATAGTCCTACTAGGTGTTCCTATCGGCGGCTGGTCGCCAGGTTCTCGACCGCCGTTGCCGCCAGGACCACCGAAGGGGCTTGTGATGTTGTCATTGCCGCCGGATGGTGGATTGCTATCGAAAAATCCGGCGCCCCAGCCACCAGCACCGGCCGAGCCAACCGTGAAAGAGGGCTGTTGATCTCCCCCGGCACCGGCGCCGGAGCCCGTTGTTGTTGTGGTGAAGGTCGAGGTCGTCCGCCCGGCACCGCCGGTAGGTACAGGTCCATATGCACCATTGCCATTTGTGTTCACGGGAGAGCTAGGGACATCAACAGGGACCCCATTTGTCCTTGATGGTTCGGGATGGCTGTGGTTCTTGTGCACGTCCGGCGTATTCCATGGGTCATCGGGATAGTCCATCGAGGATGACTTGAGAGTGCTCCGCACCTGCTTCGGCGACTCCGGTACTTTTGTCGGAGTGACGGGTCGCTGAGGAGGCTTTGCAGCGAGTTCGTTCGCGCGACCGAATATCTGTGCGGCACTGGAGTCTACGAGGCCAGGGAGCTTTGGATGTGGGAGGTCTGGTGGTTACGAGAGATTGGTTAGCTTCAGCTCGCAGGGCCCCACAAGAGCTTCGGCGACGGCCAATTGACGAGATTAAAGCGAAGAGATAGCAACTTGCCATTGGCAAGAGTGATAAGATAAAACGATCGACTGATTGATATCGATAGGATGGAAGTAATGGACATGAAACTTACTCTTTCGTCTCTCGTCAACCCCGTCTAAGCTCACCACCTCGCCCTCCTGCGCAAGGCCGATGAGGGCTAGGAGGACATTGAATTCGTTTCTACCCAGTGCAACCTCCCCGTTTCCCGGCGCAACAAAGCCCATGATCCGTGCCTGATCATCGGCGCTGAGCTTGGCCGCAGCCAATGTACGAGCGACGCCGCCAGAGCTGACTCGGCCTCCGCTGCCATCGCTCTGCACAACAGTATCAAACGTCTCAATATAGTTGTCCGGGACATCAGAGGCTGGGAGAAGGTTTCGCATGAGGTCTGCCCGACTCTTCTGCTTACGAGGAGTCGGCATATCCCACGGAGAGCCAGCACCACTGCCCCCTACGTCGTCCTCGTTGAAGAGAGAATTAGATGTGGACTGGGTTGTCGGACCATCGTCATCGAAGAGGGAATGGCGCGATCGGGCAAAGGACGAGTCCATGGACGGCGACTCGGCCGGCGGCGAGGAGCCAAACAGAGACATTGTTGCTTGTCTCTCTGGATTTGTAGCTCGAGACGGGTGGTAGTCGTTATATCAGGTTCGTCGGTGAGGTCCGGAAGCGGTAGGTTGTAGACCAAGCAGGCGACGGCGCTCTAGTTGCACGCAAGCGTCGTAATCGATTCGTAATGACACTACACCAGGCTGTCGCGGAACAATTGAAATGGGAGAGGAGTTGCTATGAATGCATCTATGAAGCAGAGAGCATACGCATGTCACGATCTGAGGAATCAGGCTGTCGCAATGCAAGTTCTGGCCGTAAACAAGTCGATGATGCGGCTGGAGGTGGGATGGAGATAGAAGAGGAGCTACTGCTTCAAGTACGGCAGGCGGGAAGCTTGGTTATCGGGTGGCGGGTCAGCCAATTAGAGCTTTAGCGCGTGGAACCGTTACAGAGACACAGCCTCGCTCATATCATGATCATTTCTCAGCTTTCAACTCTCGACTTATAACAGAACTACTCGTCAAAGCAAACATGAACAAGTCAATTCAAAGAGATATTTTAGCATGAATGTAAAATGGTGATGTCTACATGCATCTTGATGAAATGATCGGTGGGCCATATATTGGAACAAGCAATCTAAAGAGCCAGCAAAGGCACCTTTTCGAAGGTATGCTTCATCTTGACTTATATCCGGTAAATGGCTTTTGGTCCCAAATTTCTACAGTATACATATATGTTACATATACACGCATGAAATCTTCCTTGTCATGCTTAGAAGAGCTTGGTGTCCTCGACAACCGCCTTCTTGTTCTTGCTCGCAACAACCTGAACCTTCTTCTCCCCAGGCACCTTGAAGTACAAACTCGGCGACTCACCCGGCTTCAGCGTGTGGCTGAGGTATCCTCTGTGTGCCGGATCTCTGTAGTACTCGATATCCCAACGGCTTGTCGGATCTGGTAGCCTGTAGAAGTAAGGTCCTTTCCTAGCCTGTTCCAGCACACCTTCCACAAATTCAGCGCCGACGGGCAGCGGGACATCCGTGCTGATACTCTCCCCCTTAAGAAGTCTCCTAATTGAGTCCTTTGTGTAGTAACGAGTGAGGATTTTGCCTCCAGCTGCCTCGACCGCTTCAATCGCTGACGCGGACGCTCGAGAAACCAGAATGTCGATGGGTGTCCGTAAGTCACCCTTTCCGCGCGCCAGCAGTTTAATTCCGTCCTTGACTCTTCCAACAAGGCCGGACTGAATGAGCTCCTTGGGCGTAATCTGCTTCGTGGCGTCGATCCGTCCGGCATCGATAAAGGCTTGGAGGCGATCGAGGTTGACCTCGGCTAAGACATCGGCACGGCTACCTCAGAGTCAGCAAAGTGTGCGAGAAATTGACCTCAGCAAAGGCGTCAAGGCACGCATTCGACTGCAATTGGCGCCCGTAGCTTGTTCTATGAGACAGGCAGTACGTACTGGTTGACGAAGCCTTTCTTGCCGTGGCTAAAGATCAACGGCGTCTGACCACCTTGGAACCATGGCTTGACCTTTCCATGCTGCTTCTGGCCCTTATGACCTCGACCTGACGTTTTGCCGTACCCTGAAGAGGGACCGCGACCCTTTCGAATGCGCTTGTTGTAGGCCCCCTTGTTATCGGACAAGCTGGCGAGGATGGACGCGCTGCGCGACTGGATTGACAGTGCAGCAAACAGCGACGCGAGAGGAGATGTCGATGGGGCTGCGATAGATGCCCGGCAGCATCGGGCTGCTTGCAGCACCGGTATTCGGGGAGGCATCGTTGCTCTCTCGAATTGGACGTGGTCGAAGCTTCGAATCGTGATGCCGCAAAATTTCTGGAGCTGCCTTCGATGGATGATTAGAATGCCTGAGGCACCAAGTGCTAGAACTACGACTACCGAGTCTTCCTCTTCGGTCCACGAAACATAATTAACCCAGCCAACAATGTCACCATTACATATGTCTTCCTTCTGCAAAAAGTCGATTATAGCAATAATCGTAATGCAGTCGTAGCAGGCGACGAAAGGTCTAATTGCCTGCAGCTTCGTGACTTTTAATAGCTCACTCTATCCTAAACGAGTTATACTCTTTTCCAATTCCAACTTCAAAACAAAGCACGTGGCTGCAAGATGTCAATGACATTCTGTAATCAATTCATCTTCAGTCCATGGTCTCTGTCTTTATGACTCCCTAAAGTCTGTCCTACTGTCCGCGCCTCCAGTAATTGAAACAGAGTACGTTGGTTCAGGTTGACCAACCCACAAAAAGTTAGAATGTCCTTCCTCCCCTTGCGCATGCCGCTGGGACATCGGAAATCCATGTCTGTTCTTCTCTTCAGTCAAGCCTATTTGACTATTACTCGCCTCCCTCCTGGTCCCATTATGATTATGATGTCTTGCCAGTCCTCCCAATGCATATGCTCTTCGCCGGTGTACCATGCCAGAGCCGACACTCCGTCTTCTTGAGTTGAAAATGCCAGGCGCCATTTTCGCGAAAAGTGGTCGAATAGGTGGTATTGACACGCATACGATGCCGATCGTGCACTCGGCTATTGTCCATAGCAGCGATGAGACCAGATTGTCTTGTAGTTATTAGTGTGTTTCGATTCACGCAACGGAGGCTCGAAAACAGGGTCGCGAGATTTGAGGCTTACACGTCACATCGTATCCGTTGAGATAATGTAAGAAGGCGATCCTGATGATGTTTGCGATGGCGGCACTTCAAAGTTGGCTTCTTTAGTTCAGTGTTTCCGCGGTATCCTGCCAGACTTAACTCACAAACCACCGATGAAGAAGAGCACCGAGATAATGACCTTCTGCCTGCGTGGAAGTTGCAATTTCGCAAAGTACGGGAGTGGGACTATGCATAGGATGATATCTGTGGCGACGTTGATTGCTGAAGTCGCATACAGGAAATGGGTGAATGGGTAGCAATGAGCACCGGTGTTAGTAAACTCCCAAGCCGCTGAAACAGGAGTACACTGAAATATCGTAGCCGGCACTGAAGCGAGTACAAGTCCAATAGTTACCGCCACTGCAGTTGGATTTCATTAACCTTATATCAGGATAAACATGTAGCGAGACTGGGATTCCTTGGGGATGCTTGGAGTGCATGTCAGCTTTGACATGACATGTTCTTGGATGCTGAAAACATGACTATAAGACTATGACCGGTCTAAATAAATCTCGAGTGGTACTCACTAGTTCCATACATGAATCGGTGGAGGTTTTTGTATTGAAATATGCGTAAGTATAGAGTGATGATCGAGAGCTTCGTGAAGCAAATGGCTAGCGCATAAAAGGTATTTCCTACAAACATGAGCTTGACAAGGAAGCCGACCTCGTCTAGGATTGTCGACGGGTTCAGATTCCATATATGCTTCCCGAGCCCGTAGTTCGTGCCTAATCACATCATCAATATGATCAATCAGTGGCCATGCCGCATATTGTGAAGGACTTGCCAGCTAATGTTACAGAGCATACTACTAAAGTGAATAGAGAAGCGATAACGACGAGTACTGGAGTGACAATTTGTTAGCCACGGAGTCAACGGAAAGGTTGCTAATGAGGGACTCACAATCGTCGAGGAAGAAATGGTGCGTCATAAGTCGGCGTACAAGAAGTCTCACGCTGACGATGAAGACAATGAGACAAATTGCAGCAATGACGACGCCTCGTATCCAACCTTGAAGACTTGATCGATCTGCAAGGTCAATATTGCTAATCTGCTCCGGCGAAGGCAACATAGCCGCTGGAATTAAGCCTCTGAATGATTGTGAATATCGTCTAGACATAATAGAAATGAAGAAGGAGATAGGTTTGTCCATCGTAACTACTGAGATAAATCAGTAAAATTAAGCTAGAGGCTATGAAGGCGCATCACCAGGTTGTAGGAAAAAACATTTCGATTTGGGAGGCGCAGGACTAGAATTATTACACCACCCTTGGCACCATGATTCATGAAGATACATTCTGAGCTACCTCAATGGAAATACTGTCATCTCCGCACTTAGTTCTACGACTAGGAACGATGGATCTCATTAATTAGTTCATTCTCACTTGATAAACAGAAGTGCTAGAACGGCTTCATCTTAAGCTATTGATCCGGCCGGAAGGGGCCGGGAGTCTTGACAAGGCGGACAATCGAGTGTGAAGAACAGGTAGGTTCAGTGGCGCTTGGTGCCGGTGGGCCATGGAGATAAAGGGCCATGCTCGAAGCATGTTACTGATACATGTGTTGAGGTCATCATGAAGCCGACTTATTCGTAAATATCAAGTAGTTATGACTCTTTGAAGTCTAAGATCAAGTAGTACAGTGCCTCGATTATAGACGTACGAGTCCAATCATACCAACCCATTTCCATCTCACTTCAAAGTCCATGTAGCTAAGCAGGTCGCGAAGTCATAGCTTTCAGTTATACCAATGTTTAACGTGCCTAGGAATGAGCAAATCTAAATCTGAGGCTCAGGTATGATCTTCATAAGACCTTTGTACTGATGAGGTAGTATATCCGCAGAATTCCCGTAGTTCATTTCTAGGTTATCGTACTCAACTAGTTGCTTTAGTCTCCAAATTTGACTTTGACAACACCATGGCTATATTGCTTGAGGTACATCTTAGTCGTAGAAAGCATGAATGGCTGAGATACGAACCACTGTCATGGAACGCTTTCATCCTCTTGAATCAAGTCATTGCGTCATTCGATTCTAGAGTGAAACGGGGAGTATCTGTCTTTCTTCCATTACGGTGTCGAAACGCTCAATCTCGGTCAGAACACTCTCACACCTCAAATATCAAGGACATCATCGACCAATGTGCCGAGTTGCATATATGAATGCAACCGCACTAAAAATGCAAGCATGGAGATGCTATATTGCAACGCTCTATTTTTTATGTTGAAGATGACTTATCTAGGAATCTCTACATGCCTTGCTACTGCCACGTAACTTGAAATAAAAGGACACAAGAAAACAGCGAGGTATTGTAACTGAAAGTTTCGAGCGAAGGGCAATTAGTTATAAGAGGCAGTTGGAGATCCGCCATTGAGTTTGCCATAAGACTCGACAGAGACCTGGGCAATACTAAGATCGGATATTATTACACTGACGTGGGAGGCGACTGGAGTGTCTTAAGAGACAAGGCATTGCTATATTCGACCAGGCCAAGCCGGAGACTTTAGCGACCAGTTTTATTGACCAGCTTCAGCGGGCGCAGGGGTGCGTTTAATGGATTTAATGGGAGGAGGGGCGGGCGGGGTAGGTAAGCGAGAGCAAGGCCGGGTGGTGGCTGGTGGCTCTGAAACAGCGTCTTGCTGCTAAAATAAGGCGGTTGCTGTGGAAACAGCACCACAAGACGGGAAAGCGCGGTGCTACACTGGGCCGCTTAAACAACGACACATCCCGACAAGCCTCATATACCTACCTGCTCGTAATAATACAACCCCCCATCATTACGCTGTGATTTGCATACGTCGCGATCTCACTCCTCCTCACCACCACACTGCACCCGTCTCCTCCAGGCCATCGTCATCGCATTCGATGCACTGCACTTCGTGATAGCCTCAGCTGTGCAATGCATTGCGCGACGACCTGCCATCCAGACCTTCGGGTACATTAACAGAGACCACCGCAACCCACGCACCAATCTACGACTTACCGTACGCGGCAAGACATCGCGACGAGTCGAATAACATCTACGCCGACAATAATCTAATCATAGATTGAGCCGAGATCAATACATTCACAGTGCCAAAATATCTCCAGCCCCGCGACGCGCAATATCATCAACACACATCCGCCAATATGGATACTAGCTACCTGTCCCAACAGGTCAACACCATTATCGGCCAACTTCACGGCCTTTTTGACGAGATAGGAGTTCCTAGCCATGAGCGGGAACATCGCGAGTCAGAGGTAAAGTTTGTTGACATGTTTCCTGAGTGCCACTACTAACCCAATGTCAACAAATAGCTCTTCGCAGCCTTATCCGAAGCGCTGCATAACCAAGTGCGCATCGTAACATCTGAGAAGAAGGAGATGGTAGAGGAAGCACAGAAGATTATCACTACAATACGCCAGATGGAGGCATCGCTGGACGACTCGAAACCCCGCCGCGACTACCAATCTGACGACGAAGATCTGAAGATCACCTACCCTCTTACCAGATGCTTGCAAGTCCTTAAGGAGAAGCATATCCAAATTAGCCGCCTTCACAAAGAGCGTTTTGAACAAGTCAAGAGTTGGTCTGCCCTTATTCGTCGAGGAAAGAACATCATGCTAATAGCGAAAATGCAGAACTTGTACAGGCCCTTGAGTCCTACTCGTCTCATCTGGAGCCCACGTTCGTTAAGATCGCCCTACCACCTACTGGTCCAAACCAGTCTATCCCACCCAGCTTTGACTTGTCGCCATCCTACGTCGATAAGCTCGACAGCGAGTTCACGCGAGTCTACGAGGAGTATACTCGGAGAGTTGCTACAGTGAAAGCCCTGTCAGAACACATCATCCAACTCTGGGCGGAGCTCGGCACGCCCCAGGCCCAGACTGATGGAGCTATTGTCAAGTATTACCGCGATGCGCCTGAGCAGCTCGGCTTGCATGAAGAGGATCTTGCGCGACTGCGGACTAAGAGGGACAAACTTGCTGACGAGAAGAAGAACCGTGAGAAGCGCTTGAGAGATCTGAAGGTGGCTGTCGAGGCTCTCTGGGAGAAGCTGGGCATTGAGGAGAAGGAGCGTAAGGCGTTCTTGAACAGCAACCGAGGGTGTGGTGTCCGACAGATCAACGAATTCGAGGATGAGTTGGCCAGGCTCAATGAGCTGAAGCGACAGAACCTTCATCTTTTCGTAGAGGATGCCCGATACAAACTTCAGGAGCTTTGGGACGCTTTGTACTTCTCAGAAGATGAGATGCTGGAGTTCACTCCTGCATTCTCTGACGTGTACAGCGACGCTCTGCTCGAGGCTCATGAGCGTGAGATTGCCAAACTTGAGACTCTGAAGGAGCAGCGAGCCCCAACTTTAGCTCTCGTTGACAGGCACCGCACGCTTGTACACGACAGAGACGAGTTGGCAGCTTCGAGCCAAGACGCCTCCCGTCTCATGATGAGAGGTCAAAAGGGAGAGAAGCGAGATCCTGGCAAGCTTCTCCGAGAAGAGAAGATGAGGAAGAGGATTGCAAAGGAACTTCCTAAGGTGGCAGCAGAGTTACGAAAGATGTTGGACAAGTGGGAGGATGAGTACGGCCGTCCGTTCCTAGTTCATGGCGAGCGATATCTCGACGTTATTGAAGCCGATGATCCGAAATCAGCTCCAGGTCCAAGAGCGAAGACTCCAGCTGGGCCACCCCCATCTACAACGAAGAGTGCGAAGGGCGGTATGTTGAGCAGAGCCAACAGTGTGGGCAAAGGCGCGCAACCATCACGCGCTGGCGCGAAGACCCCGACGGCTGCTCATTCCACCATACCCAAAAAGGCTCAGCCGTCGAATCAGGGTAACAACCTCAAGGGCAGCCCTTCACGTATCCCTGCTCGTGTTCCGCTATCAAATCTCAAGAACGGCAATAACTCGCCCGAACGTGCTCGACCTCAATCCCGCGCTGATGGCGGCGTTATGAGGCCAGGTGCGCCTCTCATGCGTGCTCCACCCCCAAAGATGCGAGATCTGGTTCCAGTTCCGCAACTAGAAACCCCGGCAAATCCATACCGATCCGCTGGGCTAGGTTCAAGTATCGTGAGACAGGTTGAACCTGAGGATGTATATGACGATAGGCCCCTGTCGCAGCACGAGTACAGCCGCCCTCCATCCCACCACGACTACCATGCCTCGATGCGTCCGCCTGAGCGTATGATTCAGTCATCCTATCCGCAAGCTCCTCCCGCCAGGCAGATATCCAACACATCGACGGCAGTATCTGGATCGGAGAACTGGGAAACATACGACGACAACTCCGAGCCTGAGCAGGACGCATCTGACACATACTATGCTAAGGTTCGCGCCGCTAGAAGCAAACGAGCGTCGCCGGAAACGGGATATGGTCGATCCTATGCCAGCCAGTCGAAGCGCCTCAGAGGATTTCCACCAGCATCACATGCCGGTCATGTGATGGTAGACCACGACGGAAACAGGATCATCTCCGGCAGCGAGTGGACTGACGAGGATGCTTTTTAGCTTCACGTATCGACGTCTTTTCGTCCATGTTGACTTGAATCCGTGTCCATGCCGTTCATGTGGATGAATCATGTCCGTATGACATGCCGTCACGGTGTAAGGTGTCTTTGATCAGGCGTACAAACATGGATTGTGCTAGGATTTTCTCTTCACATCAGGCCGGCAGCAGGGACCTTAGCTTTCGCCTGCTGTCCTAATCCGGAAATGTTTGTGGATTCACCCTTTCAATTCTTGTATTTTCTTATACTGCATACGAGGTCTGGTGTTCGTTGACCCCCTGTGGAACGCGCCAGGAGTATATTATTGTCCAAAAAGTTCACTTCTGAGGCTAGGAGTTACTATTGAATCACCGAGGTGGAGGGTTGGACATAGTGAGGGCTGGGCAATTCGTCCTGTCCAGCATTGGAGAGGGCAAGTTTTGGAGTTTTGTGGAAGGCGTTGCCAGGAAACTCGGTCTGTATTTGTGTGTGTTTTAGACCTCTGTTGGCCAATCTCAAGATTATGGATGCTTGGACATCGTACACGACTACCGGTTCCCTCTTGACCCTTTCAGCTTGCCTGATACTGTGCAATTGTAGAGTCTCTAGATGCGTGTTTCAGATGGAGATGCCATTTCACAGTCTGAGATAACCGCCACCAGCTCATTCATCGTTTATGACGACCCAGTCTAGAAAATTGGTCGAAACTAGAGAAGCAGTTACATGACTACAATGGGTCTGAGACATATGTTTGCCGCGTGCCTTGAGGGTGTACACGAGATGCTCGGCGGCGAATAGGGACCTGCCAGGCATCCGGGTGTCCCGTCGTAGCGGGACGCTATCCCCGCGCCAGGGGTCCAGCGGGTGCAACGGCGAGGATCAGCCGCCATTTCAGGCGAGTCCCCACGTGGAACACTCGCGCTGTAGCAGCTCCAGGTATGACACCAAATTGACAGGTACACCACCGTCGTTTTTGCTACGTTTGCCTATCTCCTCGAACTCGCTTACTATAGACCATCGCGATACCTACCAACACCTCACGACGGCATCTAGCATTCGGTGATGGTGCCTCTCTCATCGACGGCCTCTATGGCATCATCCCTCCTCTGCTGAATACGCGTACCCCCTTCGCGTCCGGAGTACGAGCACCCATGAGCGCCCAGCAGGACGCAGCCCTGCGCGGCGCCTCGCTCGCCTTTCAGAACCAGAAGCCGAAGCTGCCGCCGGGCGATTCGAACACGCCGTCGACCCCGAAGAACAATGGCGCCCTGCTTGCTGCCACCTCGGCGTCTCGCGACCACAGCGTCTCGAGGGACACATCGCCGCCTCGGATGAGCCGAACGAACAGCACGAGGCCCTCTGCACAGAGAACCATCAGCAGGCAGACCACAGGCGGCAGCAGTGTGCAGGACTGGGGAGTCAAGAGCCCGGACCAGGCTGCTGCTGCTGCTCAGAGGCTGTCCCAATTCCTGAGCTCCCCGAGCTCTGCTACGGCCAATAGCCCATACTTGCTACCCCCTGGCGGCCGGCCCAGTGCGGATACTCGGAGTGCCAGCTTCATAGCCGCTACGCTGGCTGCGAGTCGCAGTGCGAGTCCTAGCCCGAATCACACAGGAACGCCGGGGTATAATGCAGGACATAACCGGCAGGCATCGTATTGGGAGACTAGACGGGGGAGCATCGGAGCGAGCAGCGTTGCGTCCACAGCGAGCCTGGATTTGCCAGACACCACTAACATTGCGCCTACAACCTCGTTGATCTCGATGTTTGAGGACAAGAAGGGTGATGATAAGCCATCAAAGAAAAAGGACGGGAGTCCTGGACGTGGGTTAGGCCCGACGCCGAAGCTACGGCCACCCACGCCAGAGAGAGAGCTGAGTCCGAAGAGGGGGGAGGATATCAAACCTGAGCCGAAGAAGACAGCTCCCAAGCCAAAGCCAAAGCCGAAAGCTAAGCCGCGGGCTGTTACGCCGCCGCCTCAGATTATTCGGCGAGCTGCTACAGAGATTGTCTCGCCAGAGCCGCGGAGAATTGAGCAAAGACTCAAGCTACCACCACCTTCACCACCGCCAACTAGGAATGTTCCTGTGTCTCAGCAGCCGCGTCAAGATAAGCCGGCTGAGATCAAGGCAAAGCCGCCTGCCAAAGCCACCCCTGAAGTCAAGTCATCCAAACCTCGAGTAACTCCCCTTGTTATAAGTGGTGCTGTTCCAACTAGACCCAGGCAAGAATCTACCACTAGCTCAGGACCTCGCCCAACGACGGCCAAGTCCGCGTCATCTGACGACACCTTTGTTTCTGCCTCATCCATGCAGTCTCCAAGATCTCCGTCCATACGTTCATTACAAGACATTCCTCTGTCACGAACGGACCGCAGTGTCGTCAAACCACCCCTCAAACCAAAATCTATCGGTCGACCATCAACCCCTAGAGCCGCATCACGACCAACCACCCCCAAGCCTCGTCGCCCACAGTCCGCCAGGATGTTATCTAACCCTTCTCCGACACGCTCGATACTTCAACAGCAGCCTCCTGACACTTCTGCTCTCACTCTTGACTCACTCACTTCCGCTATCGTCGCTGGGAATCTCGCGTCCGCAAAGCACCCATCTAACCAACTATCTCGCACACCACCTCCTATTCCAGCCCCTCGCCACCGACACAAAAAGATCTCTCCGCATCACAGCGGCCGCCAAGGGATGCGGCAGACTCTCCGACAGCCAGCGTCCAAGTCCGATGATGAGGATGCCAGGAGGCGGAAGCGAGCTCTGGAAGGGCGAAAGAAACATACCCATCACGAGGGAACACGACGACGGTGGCGTGATGAGATCTACGAGCGCGAAAAGAAACGGTACGAGGCTGTGTGGGCGAGTAATCGCGGGCTCTTTCTCGTAAATCACCCCTCGCATCCGTCACATTTCCAGATCATCGAGCTTCCTCCTACGGCTCTAAGAGAGGGCGAAGATCTGAGTGAGCATGTGGCAAATGTTGTTGTTAAGGACATATGGAGCAGGAGTAGACTGCCTGAAGATGAACTGGCTGAGGTATGGGACCTGGTGGATCGTGGTCGTAAAGGCATGCTGAACAAACAAGAATTTGTTGTCGGCATGTGGCTCATTGACCAGCGGCTCAGGGGTAGAAAGATCCCCGCTCGAGTGAGTTCCAGCGTGTGGGATAGTGTAAAGGGGGTTCGGGTACCCGGTCCGGGGGTCAAGGTCAAGGGAAAGTAAATACAGGAAGAAACGGTTGTCACATTAGAGCGGAGACAAAGGGGCGGCATCCGTGAGGTTATCTTCATTGCAGCACTATACCCCTAGAATTAGAATTCAGCCTTCATATTTACTCATTTCTTATCTTGAGCGTTTCTTCCCAAGATACCTTGTTCTCATGTGTCCAGCTACCTCCTCACAGGCACTGTGAGTACCAGTCATTAGAGTACTTGCATGTGCCCTGAGTGCAGCAGGTTGGTCCCGTCCACCCATTGCCCCCACACTGTCCATAAAGCGAGGAGCAGGTGCCGGATCCCCCAGAGCTGGTCGTCGTGCTGCTGGTTGCACTCTTTGTGCTTGTGCTGAGCGTGCTCGGTGCGCTTGTCGTGGCTCTGCTGGTCGTGCTAGAACTACCGCCAGTCGAGCCACCCGCGGTAAGCTTTACGGTGACGACAGACTTCGTAGGCAGTGATACGGTGACTGCGCCTCCGGAGAGTGATGCCCCGGTTGACGCCACCGTGTGAGTATTATCCGTCAACCATGCCTCGGCAGCACTGGGCGCGAAGCCGCTGAACGAGACCTTGGCCGACTGAGTTGATGTGCCAGAGTTGGTGAACACGACGACAATAGAGCCATCAGTGTTTTTGAATGCCCCAATTGCCACGCTTGAGATCGTGCCTGATGTCCCCAGCCGACGGGCGCCAGGACGAACGAAGCGAGACCACATCGCGAAAGCCCAAAGACGGCCCGACGGGATGGCAGTTGCGCCGTCCAGAGATGCTACAAGATAGCTCGAAGCTTGCGGCTGGTTGACTTCGAAGCCCTGCCAGTAGATATATGCAGATAGGTTCGCGTTCAGGATGCCGGTGGCTATCTTGCTCGCCCAGGTCATGCCCTCGCATGCACCACCGCTGCTATACCACGTCGTGCACCACGCCGAGTTGAGATCAGCGCCCTCGGTCTGCCAGACGGGCAGCTTGGTGTTCATCACCGAGTTCGGGTCGCCGCTGTACATGTGGGAGGTCATGGTCCCTAGGTACTGTTCCATGCCGGCGCTGATGAGAGCACTGCTCATCTTGAGCTGGTTCGGCCAGCCCATGCCGTCGCAGCAGGTTATCTTGACGCTGCCGAGGTTGTTGGACTGAAGAGTCTGGTATAGAGTTGGGATGAACGACGTGGCTTCTTGTGCGCTAGTTACGTCGATAAGCATAGAAGAGTAACCAACGCTACTATGAATTAGTTACCACCTTTTCAATGTCATGTGTGTTACCTACGAGTAGTCTGGTTCGTTTAAAAATCCGAGATGTGTGACAGTGATACCAGACTGCGCATAGAACTTCACGTATTGCGCCAGGAGGTTGGCATATGCTTGTCTCCAGTCACCAGAAGAGCAGGTATGTCCCGTTGTCCCACAGAGATAGCCTCCATTGCTTTGATCATTGTTGGTCTTCATGAACCCGGGCGCACTCCAGGCATCCGCATAGATGGTCTTGACACCATAGCTCATGGCCTGTTTGCTGAACCAGACCTGGCCAGAATCGTCATTGTCCCATGTGTAGTTGGCAGTGTTACCTGGTGCTCCAGGGCTAGTCGGCTCGATACTGTCGCCAGCTCCGCCTGACCCAATGCGGTTTCTGATGATAGTTAGACCAGCTCCGGTTGTCGTGCTGAAGAGGTAATCGAGCCCCTGCTTCTGAGGTGCTGCCGCTGCATTTTGGAACTCCTTGGCACGACCAAATGCTTGAGATACACCGAAACCATCAATTTGCTGAAACACTGTTCCGGTGTCAACAATGATGGCAGTTTGAGCTGCAACTAAACCTAGTTGAGTGAGAGATATGATTTTCATGAGGCTACACATTCTGATGCTTAGAGTATTGATCATCATTGTGGGTCGTTTTGACGGAAGCTTGAAACTTGTAGAAATACATTTAATATTACAGTGAAAATATCATGATCATCTGCGGAATATCAACCAAACGTGCAGCTAGAGGTTCCGGCTTACCGAATAAATCTTTCAAGGTTCCCTGTGTGGGTGCTGAAATGGCCGTCTATGGCAGACTACGGCTCTCAAGCCCTTTCAGGCCCAAGCCATAAATTGACAATGGCATTCCTGTAACGGTCTTTCCATAGTACCCTAATAGCAAAGGAGCAGGGTTTTCAGGATAACACTAGCACTGTAACATGATATTACAACCCTGAAAAAATTAAAAATCTTCTGATCCAGCTCCTTAAGACCTCCAAATCAAGCACAAAAGTACAATCGGAAGGACCTGGAGTTGCAATAGTCTCTATATTTGGTTAGATGATGTACAGTACTTCCGGACTTCCTAAAATGGCCAATCTCGCGGGTACACTGTCGTATTATTGGAGGGATTATTGACCCCGCGACAACTACACCACGTCCTGAATGGCAATTACTCTCTCCAGGTTGGCTATGAGATCCGTGTACACTGTCTTTAACACCAAAATACCCCGTATTTAGCTAATTAACACTACACTATGATATGATGGGTGGGTATCATTGGCGATTCAGGTAGGCATCAAGGTAATTCACACTGTAACAACTTAGAGAAAACTTGAACCAGTATTGGACTTCATCTGCATAGGACAGTATGTTGTCGTGATCTGATTGGTACTTACTCTAGAAACTACCAATCAATACATGTGTAGACAATTCCTGAGATTGATAAGTTATGAATGTACAAGATGGAAAATTACGTGATGTTCGTCGAATAAAAAAGGCCTCTAACTCCTCATTACTGTCCGAACTTAGGTCTTGAAAGACGCTGTTATCGACTATGCTCGTACTGTCCTCCTCAAAAGTAACAGAGAACTTTGTATATTATCATTCAATAGAATATGCTCATACATCTAATGGCAGAGAATGTCGTTAGGAGTGTTCCAAAGAATGCTGAATTGGCTCTAGCCAGAATGTGGTGTATGGACCTGCCAGTGCTTACACAAACCACTATCTTCATCAAAACTAGTAGGTACGAATTCACGGATGTGCCGTCCAGGTTTACTAGAGGTATTGTCGTCAAGGGTTGACGGCTTGAGACTCTGATTTTCTGAAAGTGTCGAGGACGAGAGTGACTGAAATGCATCGAAATAGCACACAAACACACCCTCGACAATTTAGTGTATCTCTGATATCCTTTCAGCCTCCTCTATACACATCATTCACTCAAAGAAATTCGTGGATCTCCTCCCTCGCAGTTTAATGCTGATGTCTCTGATAGAATTCCACCCATTCCTTGCATTCGAGTGATTAGCCGGAATCCATACACGGAGAGTATGGCTTAAGACAGTCTTTGAACACGAAATCCTATATGTCAGACCATTGCTGAGCTTCGGTACAACCACGCCTAGACTTCCTGTGCAGAGCCGTCTATTGTTAATTAAGAATCCGTCGCAGACTATCGCTAGCTTGACCGGACACCGTTCGTCGGCCATGACAGGCTTTAGTACTTGTGGAAAGCTACAAAGATCTTCAAATACTTTTTGCAGCAGAACGCAGGTGTATGTCGTCTTATGAGATCCCTTGACTTAAGCATTGTTCTTTTATGATCGCTGCAACGCCTCCATTTGCATCGTAAACCTCTCCTTTTCCTCCCGGAGTTGTATCAACCTCTCGCTCTCCCGAATGGCATCTTCTAGCCGAGCTTGTCCCAACTTTAGCCTTCTGATATCATCATCATTTGTCGCCGATGTAGATATCCGAAATGATCTTTCACTTTGGTTATTTGCTTGAGCCGTGTTCGAGACCGTGGTGCGTAGTGGAGATTGGGCGGTAAGGATTTGGATTGTACTTGGTGGCTCCCAAAGCTGTTCTGCAGAAGAGGAACAAGCTATATCTGGGGAAGCTTCAAGAGACGGTGGTAGCGCTGGAGTCACCCCTCCCGAGTACTGCTTCAGGGGATTTGTTACCAACTCAAAATGGGTAGAGGCTTGCCATCTATGATCTTCTAGAGGGTTGGATACATTAGTTCTCAAGATTGTTTCACTCCATCACGACAATACACGCATAGTAGACCGCCGGAACAGTCTGTGGTTCCGAGGCTCGAAATGAAGATATAATGATGACTTTCGGCACAAATCCTGCTGGCTGTTGGTTCAAGGACTGATTAATCAAGTGTAAACATTGTGGGGCAAGGTGCAGGCCAAACAATAAAATGGTGCTTTTAACGACCATTGTGAATTATTATATGCTGATTTGGCGCTCCAATAATAAGTGATTTATGTAGTCGGCTCATTCTAGCAGTTCTCGCTTGCCCTATTCAGTTTTTCTGGAGTTTGGGCCGCGCTGTGGTTGTGCAGGCTGTCTGGCTGGGTCGAGAATCAGCGTGACCATCTATTATGATGGCAGATTTTGAATTACTTACGGTAAAATTACAAAGATATCTATCATCATATGTTCAGTGGATTGACAAATTTCTTGGACATGGCAAGACTGGACTTTCGATTGGAGACACAACACCTTCCCCCCCTCTGCCTCAAGGTAACAACTATCCTCCTTCGTCTTACTAGGCAATCTCAGAGACTGCTGCTCAACACCGGCTTCAGATATCACGAAGCACATATGAAGGAAAGCCTCCAGGGCGTGAGAACGTACTGAGAATGCAACAGGGTAGTAATCTTGATTGTGGGTGACAATAGGTAAGTGAAGCAAGTAAAAGCGGAGTAAGGAATAGTACAGAAATCATCTAATAGCTTGTAGGGGTATGACCTGGTCCCCCAGTTCACTATAACGATATTGATAGACTATTTCGTAGGTCCTTATTTCTATCAAGAATTCTATATTACTATTGAAACTGGTCCGTCTCTGCACGAAATACGTACTATAATTTCACTGAGTGATCAGTATTGTGATCCTACCCTGTGGTTCTTTAGTGGGGAGCTTCATTGACCATACAGAGACAGCATTTGCTTTAAATAGCCGTGGACATTTGCTGCCTTGTTTCGACATGTTGGTTCACGTCATTCACTCTCAATACATATATGTAAGACACCTCAGCCGGATGTACAGGTATGTTGATTATAGTAAGGATAACTACTTGTCGGCCGATAACAGCATCATAGCAGATAAATGGTCAAAAGCAATGCAACACGCCACTGAAGTTTGACCCAGCCGTATAATATAACATTCATTAAGGGGTACGCAGAAGAGAGCAATGCACCTTAATATATGTTTGTAACAGGCTTCATTCCGATAAAACTCACCACTTGTAGTGCTAGTTCCATGTGCTCTATTTACAGTGTTGACATGAAATCCTCAAAGGTCTCTGGTGCTTATATAAATCTCAGAAGCATAAGCTCACTTGCGCCTCAGTTATAAGATTCAGATCAATATTTTGCTACGTTCGCATACCCTTCCCTGCTCAAGATGTAACAAGAGGTAATTACACTTGCGGTCACTTCGAAGGGAAACACGGACAAACTCTGACCAATCAAAGCGAATTGCTGCGTATCAGTACTCATGCAGGCGATCTTCACGCAGATTCCTAGCTCCCCACCCTTATCAGCAAAGTGGCCAATCCTGCATGGCTCGAGATAGTACTTGGACAGGATGTGCGTGCTCACTGTGGGGGAAGCTGTAAAGATACATGCCATTTTGCCAGGGGTCGCATCGCATGCGGATCACTCCGAGCTGCCCGGGAATGTATAGCTTGATTGAACATGTAACCTCTTATCTCAAAGCTCCTCATATTGACAAATGTGGCTGAAGATAAGCATGTTTCTCTCTGTCACACCATGTTCAGCAAGATAGGGTGTCACCGAAATTCTGGGATTTCGTAATTGATATATTATACCCGGGCCTACCCCGACAATGATCTCAAGACTGAATTTCGCCCTTGTCTCGGCTGTTGCATCATTCCTAGACTGACAAAGAGACGCAATGAGCGAGCAACAAATTGGTCGAAGATCATCATCTCATGCAGTAGATCCTAATGCTCTGCATGTCACATCGGTTCTCGAACGAGACCATGAACTCGCGATTATTGCCGAAGATGCAACCTTAGATGAGAAGGTCCTCCTCGCACTTGGTTACAAGCAGGAATTCAAACGGTATGAGTTGCACTGGCATCACAATCTGATATCCTATTAACAAGCAATAGCGACTTCACCGTCCTCGAATCGTTTTCTGTTTCATTTTCAGTCCTTGGATTGCTTCCATCCGTAGCGTCAACAATTACATATTCCCTCGGCTATTCTGGAACTGGTGGTGCAGTATGGGGTTGGCTCATTGCAGCTGTCGCCATCCAAGCGACGGCCTTTACCATGGCGGAGCTATGCTCTAGCATGCCTACGGCAGGAGGGCTTTATTACGCATCCGCAGTACTGGCGCCTGAAGGCTGGGGTCCGCTCTGCTCTTGGATTGTCGGCTGGTCCAATTTCTTTGGCTTCGCTACGGGGCCTTGTTCGGTGAACTACGCTCTCGCTGCCATGCTTGTGACATGCGGGGAGATTGCATATCCAGACTATGCTGCTGAGACATGGCACATTTACTTGACATTATTGGCTTTGTTGATAGTACAAGGATTCATTACAATGCAATCGACATGGTTTATCGGCTGGGTCAACAAGGTTGGAACCGTCTTCAACATATTGGTCCTCATCATCTTTGTCATATGGTTCCCCGCCGGCTCTGTTAATAGTCCTAAGACGAACAAATCTCACGATGTATGGACACAATTTGAGAATGGAACTGAATGGCCCATTGGCTGGGCTACGATTATGGGTTTCCTGACTACAATATGGCATGTCTAGATCCTGAGTTACACTGGGAGAGATACTAACCACCTCAACAGGACTATGTCAGGCTATGATGCGCCTTTTCATCTTTCCGAGGAATGCTCCAATGCCAACATTGCCGGGCCTCGAGCT